TTATTTTTTTTGGACATCTACCCACCAGTTATACATGTACATATATAAAGATCTCACTATATATAAATAGAATCCGCACAGCCGTTAGGGGGGACTTTACCATATGGTCACATACCCAAACCACTTATGCGTATCATATTGCCGTCGCATTGGTCCTCCTTGATAGGAATGCTCAGCGTGAGCATCCCTTGTTACTTGCTGCTACTTATCCCAGCATCTCGCTCTATATATATTTGCAGCCCCCTCGGTGTGCACCACCTTCCAGATTGCTGGACGAGCAGGAACAACAGTTTAAGCTCGCCTGCAGCCAAAGTTGCCCGAAAGTTGTGAACAACATTTTGAGCAGCAACCACCCACAGAAAATGATAGGTTACCTATGAGTAATCCGTCTAGATTCACGCTATTCGAAAGAAACGGCGCAATAGATACTCCATTTCATGTGCTTCCTCTACTGAAGTTTTCAATAAGTGTTTCTTTTCCTTCTTTCTATACATATCTAAACCACTCGCCCACATCTCATTGCGCAGCACGCCACCGCCTGGGGCTGCTGGCACAAGTCAGAGGGCTGTCACAACAACGACAGCTACACAATCCATATCCGCTACCCCGTCCGCTTTTGCGGCCATATCATATGATTTCTGGCCTTTCAATCTTCGTTTAGGGTGGAATTTATGTGGTCTTCCTACCCCTAACTCACTGACGGAATTTTTAAATGTTTGCCGAAATCCTATTAGTGCCATAACTAAGCGCCGTCCACATCGTTCGCTTCGAGTCACACGCTCGCCCGAGGCACATAATTATGCCGCTAACGATGCCCCCGGGGACAGCCGAAGATTGGTGAACGGCTTAGCAAAGCGTTCATTAGCAAGCACAAATCTGTGCTATCCAATTCAATTAGACGCTCGAGCCTCAACCGGGTGTAGGATAACTCCTGACTCTTGATCGCATACTTTTCCTCCATTTAGATTTTATTCTAAAGCTTTCTATTCTGAATAATTTCTTTTTAAAGGGCTGTTAAGAAGATTATGTAATATTTATGAACAAATGCTTTAAGCAAAAAGTAATCAATTCAGTCTAACGTAAGGATAATCAGCCAAGCAGTGAAAAATATAAAAACATTGAAATTCTACTAAAAATGTCGAACTTACAATCCACATAAATATCAGTCGATTGCACTGAAATACGCCATCTGAAACATATTTTTCTTATTTTTTTTTTTTTCTTTTATAATTCTTGGTAATTTCTTTCAATTGTTCGGCTTCGCTTATCATTTCTCCGAAAATTGTTAAAAAGGGTGTTCCCCTGTGTTATCATAGTTAAGGGTATTTAAAATAGAACATTATCAAAATATTAAATTAAATCTGATATTTAACATTGGACACAATTATTACTTCTAGTTACTTATATTGTGAAACAAATAATATTTTAATTATTCTAGTCTTAGAAAATCTGTCAGTCACGCTATAACCACACACACATACACACATCATGGAGTATCAAAGTTGATAGTGCAATTAGTGGAACTTACCCAGATCAGCGACACGTATGCCGAAGCAGTTCATATCCTTGTTGAGTGGCGGCTGCAGCGGCAGAGTGGAGCCATTGTTGAGCGTGGCGCTGCTCGTCTCCTGCGGACGTTTGCGTGCCACGGCAATGCCAACGGGCACCGAATTGTCTAGAGACATCAACAAATATGATAATTAACGGATCTAGAATCCCATAGATTAAGTAGACAACTTACTTGTGCTAGACGTGGACTTTTCCAGATCAGATACCTTGGGCGAGGAGGCTTCGATTTTGACCAACGTGGTGAGTGTAGATGCAGACATGGTCTTTGTGGCCGACGCCGTTACAGATGATGAGGTAACACTGCCCAGGCCAAGCGAAGTGGACGCTGTCTGCAGATGATGCTGCTGCTGCTGCTGCTGCTGGTGTTGGTGCTGTTGCTGCTGCTGCTGCGGCTGATGGCAATTGTTGGAACTTATCTCAGACACCTGACAAGGCTCTCGCTTGATCTGCACAAATGTGTACGAGGACGAGTTGGTCTGCTGGTGATGATGATGATGATGCTGCTGCAACGGTAATGGCAACGGCAACGGTAACGACGCAGCACCAGCGTTCATATACTGTGCGTGTGCGGGCATAGCACCAAACGGTTCCAAATGCAGCGGATGCCCACCAAGAGTGCCCACTGTTGCACCACCACCAGCCGTAGTTGTGGAGGGCATTAGAAATGTTGGTGCCGCTGAGGTGGCAGCGCCAACCGAGGAACTCAAAACATCCGCGCTGCTTGTTGCATTAAATGTAGCCATTGGTTATTGTTGTTGATGAAATTTGGACGTGTTTTGTTAAATTGGTAGAGACACTCTAGATTATAGCTACTGGGCTTAAGCCTGGGCTAAAGCTAATGTTGTTGCCAACTCTAGCGTAGGCGGCAAGGAACATTGCCGACGACTTGATGCGTCGCATATGCTTCACATACATGCACACATACACACGTATGTATGCACGAATATATATTTTTCTATAGCTACGTATATATTTATATACGTCTAAACATCCATTATCTGCGGCATACACGCACGCACGCACGCACACACACAAACACACTCACGAACAAACAGTCTACATTTTTACGTGTTTATATTTCTCACTCTTTGGTGCAACACTCAGCGGTCATTTGTTTGCATATTGTCAACTTTTATGCTATTTATTATAAATAAATGACATAATACACGCGCCACATACGTATGCAACTAGCACTATATACATACATATGCATATATAAATATATACATATAATATATATGTATATATGTACAAACTGGACCTGTGCTAGGTTCCCAGCGGCGGCGGTGGCAGCGGCGGAGGTGGCGAAGGTGTGGAGGTGGAAGAGCGACCGATCCCTACTAACGCAATCGTTTTTAACGTTATGCTATATCCGCTTTAGAATTTCACACTGCAAGCCGCCTACAAAATGGCACGCATTAAACCGCGCGTTTTTTTTCGCGAATTAGTAATCCCTGGAAAAAAGTCCACGGGAGACACAAAAAAAGCAACTTTTCAAGTTTTCACTATGTTTGGCAAGTGACAATCGTTTGCGATAGTTGGTATCATCGATATTGCTCACTCCGTGACAATAGGATATTGTTCGATATTTTATAGTTTCTACGATATTTTGATGGCCACAATCGGTGATAATCCAAATAACAAAAATCGATAACGCACACTATTGGCGCGCGTTCAGCTGTCATTTTCAAGAGTTAAATAAAATAATAATTTTATTGTTTATTTTTATTATTTAATAGTTACATAATTCTTATTGTTATGTCACGTATGATAATCATAGCTGCGTTCAGTTATAATTTGTAATATAAATAATATGAATTTTTAACTTAAACTAATTTTAATAAGTCAGTAATAAGCTACTCTGCAAACATAAATCATAACAGTTCATTCTGGCCAGCCACTTACGGCCAGAATTCCATTTATAGATAAATGCGTCTTAAATCTTTTGGTGTAGTTATGGAATTGCATTGCGGACAAAGCTTACGGGCACCCAGCGTCTGCAGCCAGCACTGCTCACAGTGGACATGCCAGCAGGACACTGAGATGGCGGGATTCTTATAATCGTCAATGCAGATTAAGCATTTGAGTTTGCTCTGCGCCTGCTTCTCGTACATACGCAACCGCGCCTTTAAGGATTCGATAATCTGCGACGATGTGTTGTTACTGTTGCTGCTACGTGATGTGGATGCCGCTGCAGATACAGTCTGTTGTCCAGATGTAGATGGGGCCTGGCTAACCGCCTCATCATTCATCTCATCAGTCGCTTCGTGGGTATTGTTGCTCTTGGGCGTTTCATTGGATGATATTAGACGGCGCACATAACTAGTAACATCCGCCTCAGAGACACCGCCTTCCTCTGCATCGTCATTGTCCAGTGGTATGACGTCTGCTTCGCCGTATTGCGTCGGTCCATATATATGTGTGTCATCCTCATCCACATTCACATCGTCCTCATCATCGTTATTCGTCTGCTGGCCACCATTATATTTGATGGTCTGTCCAAGATTCAGCGCTGCATAGCCGCCCTGGACGAGCGTCGACACGCGAATGCGCTTCTGTCCCGCCCACTCGTATTCTTCGTACTCTTCACTGTCATCGTCATCATCGCTGGAATGCCGATCCCCGTTCCTTCCGCCAGCACGCAGGCACTGATTCACATGCTCCTGTATATCGGTCTGTGGGAAACTTTTGTTGCAGACGGGACAGCTGCAGGCGACTTCGGTAGCTTGACTTGGCCCAGCAGCATCCGCATCTGAAGCAGCTGTTGCTGGTGGTTGCACTGGTGGGGGTGGTGGTGGAGTAGGTCGCTTGCGTGTTCTTTGTCGCTGTCGGGCCTGCCGGTTGCGTTGCACACGCTGGAATACACTCCATGGCTTTCGCTGGCTGCCACCCTCAGCAGTGGCAGCAGAAGATTGTGTTTGCGATGTTGTGTTATTAGTGGTGGCAGCCAACGCTGCCGCTGTCTGTGCGGAGCGCAGCTGCATACTGTGTAATCGATCCATTTCAATTTGGCAATGATCGGCAACTTGACTGCGTTTAATTTTTGCATCGCAAGTAGGGCATATGACATCCTCTTCCCCATTGGCGAGATTAAAGTTTTCGGTGTTGGGCACAGTGTCAGTTGCCATGGCAAAAGACCTTTCTCTCTATTTTTTGCAAGCAAAATAACGACTGGCCACCGGGGCGTGAGACACTTAGCCAACGTACGTGCAGTTTATAGTTTGTATTTTACTTGGATTTCGTTTAAAAACTCAGATTTAATCTTAGTTTTTCAACCGAAGCAACTAAATAAAGTAGAACAACAAACGCGACGCCGATCTAGGGATGTAAGTATATTTTCGCTTATCGATCAAGTATCGAAGTGGTCGAAACTATCGCAAAGCATAGCTTAAGCAGCCTTGCCACCTAGGTAAAACCAATGAGCACCTAAAAAATAAATAACGCGTTTTACAAACATTTTAGTGATTGTCAACCCCTCTGCAAATAATTATTTTTATTATTTTGTTTGTGTTTAATGTAAAAAAGGAAATTCAAAATTTAATTAAAAATGTAAAATGCAATAGCTAAACGCTATACTAAAAATTAAATCGTAAGTTAGAGTTGCTACCACACCGATATACGCCATATTTTTGCAGCAGACAGCAGAGCACAGAAAGTAAAAATCAAAAGCTGGGAAAACAGAATAGAGAAAAAGCAGTGCGTTATTATTTTCCCATAACTGTGTCACATACAAGGCTCTCCAAAAACGGACTGTATTTTTGTGTGTGGGTGCGTTTTTGTGTGTATAGATCTTGTGTTACTTATTATTTAACAAAAACAAGATGTCGGAATTGTTAAAAACGCAACAGCAGCACGCGCAACAACAACAACAACAGCATCAGGGCAACATTGGCATCTATGGCAATAAAATGAATGTAATTCCAAATTATACGTTGAGCGGAATGAGCTCCTTTGATGCCGAATCGCTTCCTGATTACTCAGAGTTTGATTCCGAATCGGTTACTTTGGACTATTACAAGGAAAGGTATTTAGCAAACGACAACAACAACGACAGCGACAACAACAAGCAATATTTTTGTCCGCATTTTTGTTTTGATTCCGTTTCACCCTTCGTAAACTCGACGCAGTAGTTGTTGTTATTGTCGATTTTCTGTGCCCCAATTTTGTTTTCATTCGTGTTTTGTTTGTTTTGTCTTCTTTATTTGATATCATTTTGCTACTCATATCATATACTGTTGATCCTGTTGCCATGCCCAATGCTCTCACATATGCTTGTGTGTATATGCAAATATTTTGTGTTTCTCTCTTATTGTTAAGGCTAAAAATAGAGTAGACATCGTCTCTGCTGGCCCCCGTCTGTGTAATAAAATCATAAAATTGGCAAGTATTTTTCTTTGTCTAGTATAAAACAAGCAGCCCGCTCATACCTATCGCCTACACCACGCTCTCTATAGAATTTGTTAGATGAGAATATACAGTAAATACTGCCTTCCTTGAACAGTCGTTGAATAAAAACTTGGCTTTAGAAAACATCTTAAAAATCTCTTGATATTTGCTACTGAAGACATCGAATGCTCTAGTGAGCAGCTGTGGTTCCTTCTATAGATTTAACTGAGTAGTTGCGAAAGACATATAGTATATCATTCATCTACTAAACATTTTCTAAAAACATTTATAGCAAGAATTTTCATTTGCTCAAGCTTTCACTGTAGTCATATAGTATGTGGGCTTTCGTATTACTTTATGCATTATTAATGCAATATGCATCGAGATGTTTGCAGTTTTACGATTGATACCGGTGCTTCCTGGAGTTGCCTTGCCATCTGAGGACATTCGCTACATTGTTTTTGTTGATGTCATTGCATGCGCAATCCTATATAATAGCTTAGTCACATCTCGCATATTTTTAAATACCAACCGCTGAGCTAAAGTAAACTTACAAATATTTTTGGTTTCGCCGGCAATGGCCGACTAGAAGCTACCCTGAAGCCTATATCTATGTAAAGAATACATGTTATGGTATAGCTTCTTCATGTGAGATGTACTCAAAGAGCTTCATTTTAAAACAAATTTATATAAATGATTTAATCTCTGATTTAAAAGGAACCACATTGAATTAACGTTTCATAGGCTCCTTGTTGGAGATGGTCAGGTAAACCGACAAACGAAAAGGCCTATATAAACACGTTGATTGATCCTGTTAGAATATAAATACATATACATAATACAAACTTGTTGGCCCTTGCGAACACAACATATACCAATGATCTTGAATAACCGTTATCCACTCATTAGATAATTAATACAATATTTGCTATAAACTCAAATCTTGCTGACGAGTGTCGTTGGATGAAATGAACAAAACAAACTTATTGAAGCGTTATAAAAAGCAGCGTTTGCTTGCTCGTGGCCTATTCCAAGTGGATTTTTGTGCTTTAGTCAATTTGTGGTAGGCCCCTCCCACCCAGACGGGGGCTGGGCTCCGGCCTACTCAAATGCTTTTGTATGTTTGCATGCTGCTGCTCTATATTGTATTGTTTTCTCAGCTGACTTGTATGCGCTTGAATGTATGGTTTCGCTTTTTGTATTGTTCTTATTTAGTTTTAACTTGAACTATAAATTATCAGCTACTAATCGAAACTGTTACCAATTCTATTTTTCCTCCATGCAAAACGTTTTAATAAACAAACAGATGTTAAAAAGGAAAGCATTGTAGAATGAAAAGCATTTGAACAGTTCATAACAAACGCTGTGCGCTAAGAATTAATGAAAATACAAAAAACAATAAACATCAATTGAGACATTTAATTGTTATATATATACCAAGCCAGAGTTTACCATTATTCCCCTCTATAAACTAACCAGAAATATTAATAAATCGCTCCAAATCAGTATTTTACGTGGGCAAACATTTTGCCTGATTAGTTTTTAAGGTAAGTGAAACTCATCCTATCAATTTCTAATTGTTTTTTTATACATATTTTTAGCATTAAATGTATGTTCGTTTGTATTATTTATATAGTGTACTACGTCCTGAAGCGGACAAAATGGCGCCGACAACGACAATTGAAACCATAACAATCACAAGACCCCTCAAGGTGTGTAAATGTAAAAAATGATAATTCTACTTTTAAAGCATTTTTTTAAACAATCCAAATTGATCTTTTCAGGTGATTGCATTTATTTGCGGAGTCATAGTTGTGGTATTGATGATTATGGCCCTGGCATCCACAGATTGGCTAATGGCAGCCGGTTGGCGGCAGGGTCTCTTTGTGCATTGCATCGAGGATGATTCAGCTTCACCGCTGCCATTTAATATACAGGATCCACCAGGCTGCTATTGGACCCGTGATATTGGTAATGATATAAAATCAAGATCAAAAACATTCTTCTTGCTAAACACCAACCTTCGTATTTTTATAGGCTACATCAAGGCAACTGCAGCGCTATGCATTATCACATTGATAACGGACGTCATAGCCACAGTGTTGACTGGACTGGGCCTAAAGACACAGAATCATAATATTAAATACAAATTTTATCGAATAGCAGTGCTAGTAATGCTCGTCTCACGTACGTGTCATCTGTCGCTTACATAATTTTTAGTACTCACATTTTTCCCGATTGTCTTTTAATACAGTATTGGCCGTGCTCTCTGCTCTGATTGTCTATCCAGTGTGCTTTGCAGGCGAACTCACAATGGGTAAGCACTTGAATATAAACTTTAAATTTACCAACTTATAATTGGTTTGTTTATGCAGCGAATCGACGCGTTTGGGAGTTTGGCTGGGCCTATGGCGTGGGCTGGGGCGCTGCAATATTCTTGTTTGGAGCCGTGGTTCTGCTGCTCTGTGACAAAGAATCGGAGGAGATCTATTATAAGGAGAGAAAAATTGTACATGAAAACCAAATGCGCGCCTAGGCAAGGCCGCACGACCTGCCTGACGTCGTTCTTTAGACATATAAGCATCTAGAAACACATTCACTCACACATATACACACACTCACAGACGTATATAAATTTCAAATTTGACTCACGACTCAAAAACAAACGAACACACTCAATCAAAATAGTGATTTTTCGTCATAATGTTTAGTTAGACTTCTGATTACGTCCATCACCAACAAATTTTAAGCCAAAAGAGAGAACCATAACGACTTGACTTAATTCTTCCCATAGTACTGGGCATTAGTTAGATAAGACTTGTTTATATTTTATTTGTTTTTTTTTTTTTTTTCCATAAGTTTCCCCCTGTGGAAAGTTATTCTTCCAAAAAATACAATGGTATATAATCTTCAAATCGTGTCCAACCTACCTACCTATATAACAACACATATATTAAAATACATAATCGCAAATCTTATCAGCGAGCTCCACAAAATTATAATAGATTTTTAGTCTTGTCTTTGGCACCAATATGACGAAAGCGAAACCAAATTGTACTTTTATGAAACAATATATACAAATTTATATGAAGAAAAAATAAGAATATTACAAATTATCCAGATGCTTACATGTCGTATACCTAGAAGAATATCATAGAAATTCATAGTCGTTTACACATGTAATCCTACCAGAAATGTATGTATTGTAACCTTACCGTAGTCGATCCCTCTATACGACCGCTCCACACAAATGATGATACGACAAACACAAATAATATATACATATATGTGAATTATATTTTACAATATTTCTTTGAATTTCTTCAACAATTCAGATTATGCTGATTACGATTTGCAACAAATCTAGTTTGATTCATTTACAATGTGTTGTGTAAGTGCTACCCATATATACCCAATGTACTCGAATATAAAACGATATACATATGGTTTTTAGACCTTTATCTTTTGTATAATACTTAAACCGTCCCGTTTACCACTCGAATCACTTTGAATATTTTTAAGTTAATATCGTATATATGCAATAATTTGAACTCTATATTTGGCAGCTTTTGTAACCTCAGTTATATATAATTATTTTTACACTCTAATTTATTATTGTATATTCCTTGTATTGTGTTCTATGCTCTATTTACATATCATAACCAATTCAAAAGTAATAAACGCGTTTCTGTCAACTTCTGTTAATATTTGAACAACTTGATTAAATTTTGGTTTGTTAATCTAAGGCTTTTCGCTTGCTCAACGATGACTATTTATATGTCAATCTGTTCTTATATCATTCATCCAAATAACCACAGCATAACTTCTCATGTCCTTAAGTTGCATTTCATTTTCGTTCTTCAAAGACGATAAATTGACAACACGCAATCAACACAGAAACAATTAGACCGAGTTTTAGGTAAACGTTTATAACAACAATACAAAGATAACTACACATGCATTAACATTCATTATATAAAGAAGACATTGAACAAATCGTAGGCAGGAACGTGCGGTGAAAAAGTGAAGCGAAAAATATAGAGAAACAAGAACAATTATTAACGAGTATGAAATTAACAATTATACCAAACAATTTTAATTAACTAAACTATATTTAAGTAAGGTTAAAGTATGCAACTATTATTAAAAAAAAAAAAAAAAAAAAAGAAACAAAGCAAAACAAAGAAAATACAAATTTAACATATGTAACTAACGAAACAATTATATAACTTAGTATACTCAAATGTGAACATTTATGAAACGTTACAATTTTTTATTGAAAAAGAGACGCAAACGATTAGCTGTAACAAAATAACACGAAACGTACATACATAAAAAACAAAAGTTAAACGTTTTCGTTCCTCCATAAATCAGAAAGGAACAGAAAAGACAACTTGAAATAATATATATGTTTTAACCATTAGAAGTTTTATGAATCGGAAACGGAAAACTTATCAAATTAATTGCTAGTGATCGATCGTATATTCAATAATTAACTCTATTAGTCACATATTTATATGACATTTATATAAATTATATATTTGTCAATATTCACAGTTAAATTAACCATATATTGGATACAGCGAAGGTGTCTGATCACCCATCCATCAGTGCGATTTTGTTTTGTTTAATTGTAAATATTTTGGCCAGAGATTTCCGTTCCCATCCACAAATGTAAATGCTCTAATGTAATCGATATTGATTTTAAATTTCCTTCTCAATCACTTACGTTATGCATATTGAGATGTTTATAAAAACTACAAATTAAGTTCGCATTCCATAATCAAAATTTATTCAAATATGTATGTAACAGCAAAATACAGAATTTATAGGAAATTCACAAATATTGTATTCAATGAAATCTATAAGATTTGGAAATATGGACATCTGAAATGGATTATTCTTAGATGCCCCATTAAATGCTTAGATCTGCGGCAATAATATTATTTTGTTCAAAGTACTTTGAAAAGAAATCAACGAAAAGGTTTATCTTGGGACGTTTCAAAGGATCCGCTTCCCAGCTATCGACTATCAATTTTTTCAATTCTTCAGGATAAACCATTTTGATGTCCTCCAAATTTGGACGCATTCCTATAAAGTAATATCATGTTTAGTAATTCCAGTTGACACCAAGTCGTACCGTACCGTTTTCACATTCGCGCATTATATGTAAAGATTGATCAACGTTTTCGTAGACCTGTTTGCGCGACATCATTTCCCATAAGATAATGCTACAGGTGTACACCTCCGATGGCTGTGAACGTTTCACTCCTTTGAAAGTCTGTAAATGAAATAACGCACATAAATATAAGCAACTGACAGTGGGCTAACTCCTCCACACGTCTAAGATCCCAGAACAGCGGAACTTATAGTCAAGTTGATCAGTTCACTTATAATGCGTTCACGATAATGCATTGTACTATATGTATGTATATGTCTATCTGGGCGAGAGTCTATAACACATACATATATACTGCACTAGATGCTCGAAATTAATACACTCGCTTGCACTTTGCATATAGATCAGATACTAGCCTCTGGTGCCATATATGGCACGTTGGTACGTTGATTTGTGTTTGTGGTTGCCTCAGCGCGCACAGATCCGAAGTCAGAGATTTTCAAGACGCGACGGTTATCCATTAGCAACATATTTGACGGCTTCAAATCGCCATGCAGCAATGACGGTTTTCTCGAATGAAGATAAGCAACGGCCTGGTAAAATAAAAGAATTTAGGCATAGAACTTTTACTACAAACGGAAATAGGAAATAGCTCTGATAAGATATTTCAATCGTTCTACGATTTTTTTTTATGCATTTATGCACATCACACAGACAACATACGCGTTCTGCTAACTGCGTCAGCGGTTGGGCTTACATACATACATATGTTAACTTATTTATTGAAATCCCTACCTCACAGTAATCAAATCGTGCTTAAACATTATACTCTGATTTCCCATTTTCAATGGGATGAGGGTATAAAAACGAAATCAAATTATCGATACAACATAAATGGTAAGTAGGTTAACACGAATATATACATACATATGTAAAATTTGAAGTCTTTTGCTTTTGTACATTACGAGATCTTTGCATTCATACGGACGGACGGGCGGACAGAGAGGCATGACGAGATCAACTCAGCTTGTCAATCTTATCAATAATATATATAATTTCAGCTACGTATGGACTGCCATGACTGCTTCTGCCTGTAATATACATTTTCACAAAACCATTATACCTGATTTCCCGTTTCCCATGGATCTAGGGTATACAATAAGTCTATATGTATAAATATATGTATATCAATATACCGAAAAATACTGGAGTGCCCAATTGACAACATGATTAAATGTATACTCAATCAACGGTGTGTTATGCAAGAAATCTTTCAGAGATCCGCCGTCAGCATACTCCATAATTGAATACACGCTACTTCCATTGCTTGAATCACCAATCAAGGTGAGGATGTTTGGATGCCTCACGTCTCGCAAATTTCTCAGCGCTGTTTCAACATTTCTATTGTCAGCGTACTGTATGAATTGTTTAAGTGCTACGGTTTTATTATCGTACTGTCCTTTAAAGACGATTCCATAGGTTCCGGTTGCAATTTCCTATAACGCACAATTTCTATTATTTGGTCAAACTATCGACGTTACTTATAAGCACTTACTTTAGAATTAGTTATTTTTGTAAAGTCAATTGAATTTATATAGTTATTAGCATCCATCTTCCGTTTCAGACGCGAGCTTACCGTATACTAACCAAATTTCATTTCTGTGAAAATAATTGTTGATTTCCTGTATAAATGGAATTTGTGGGTATATAATTTTTATGTGAATGAATGTATTCTTGATCGGCACATCGAGTTGATTTGTCTTTCTGTCCTTTCGCCTGTCGTCTATCTTTTTGTCCCCATCAATTGGTTCATAAGTCACACATCTCGTTTATTTTTTTTTTTTTTTTTTTTTAAGATCAACTTGAAAGCCATTAAAGCAAAAGTCGGCAATTTAATTGCACTTATAAGAATTTATAACCTGAAAAAAATATACACATTTCTTTGTAATTCAAAATTTCATTAGAATAGTTCTATAACAAATTATAATATGCATATATAATATACATTGTATTGTAACTCTGTTTTCTGCATGGTTGCAAAGAAACCCCCAGATTGATTGAGATAGTTACCTGTGAAGCCACAGGGCATCTGCTAGTCGGGCACTTTCGATTCGGACAATAAAATTGATAAGGATAATATTGACTATATACTTAATTACTCATGTTTATATATAAAGAATGAATAACACTTTATAAACAAGTAAGAAAGCTGTTGTCGAGACTGCCCAACTACGAGATCACATGAACACTTCGAGCAACTGCACATTCGCACATGCACACACACGCATATACACGCATTGCCTGCAGTGGTGGTTTACTATAAGAACTTTTCGTGTGGATGATTCAGATTATGAATATAACATAGGTATGCATGTATTCGCCAAAGCATAAGTCTCTAGTATTTGAAATACGCCTTTTACAAATACGATGATGTGGGAGTAAATACAGGGGCGGTTGGTAAATTTTGACAATAATCGAAATTATATAAATTTGGCAACTTTAGCTTTAAAGATGTACCAAAACTCGATTTGCGCGTGGTATTCACGGACCTAGGGAAATAGGAAAAATTTTAGGTCTCTAGCTTTTATATCTTCTGAGATCGACGCGTTCAAACATACGGACAGACGGGCAGGGCTAAATCGACTCAGCTCGTCGCCCTGATCAAGAGTATATATACTTTATGGGGTCTGCCACGGCTTTTTCTGCCTGTTACATACATTTCAGCAAACCCATTATACCCTGATTTGCCATTTTCAATGGGTTCAGGGTATAACAATAAAAATTAGCAATAAATATGCTAGTATAGGTATAAAGAAATAGGAAGATTAACTTGTTAGCTATTGTTCAATTCAAAGTAAATAAATAGCAAAAGAGAACAAAGTTGTATGATTGCCGAACCGATAACTCAAACTAAATAATTAATGTAGAATATAGAATTCAACGAAGAGTGTTCCCAGCTCAGCTCGCCGTCGTCCTGATCAAGAATATATTTATACTGTAAGGGGTGAGCAACGTGTGGATTGCCACGCTGCCTCCTGCCTTTTACATATATTATCCATATATATATTATATACCGATTTTTAATTTTCTATGGGTTCAGGGTATAACAAAATTAATATTTGTTGACATAATTTATACATACTATATAGTATATACACATAGAGAGAACGTATTAAAACATTAAGTTTTTATTGCATAGAAACGGCATCATGTTGAGACGACTATATCGTCTGTCGATACTTGAGGGTTGGTCATGTTGCCTACATTAGTTATTATTTAAATTTAATTTATTAAAATATTGTTATTGGAGCATTTATTTAGTATATATCTACATGTGGACACCTACAACTACATTGTATTCACAGCACAGCGCCACATCTTTAGTCTTTCTTGGCTATCAAGCCCTGCTTTTTCAGCTGTCGGAGTGCACATTTGGCAGCCGTACATTTGGCTATACGGTAGTTGCGTCCGATGCCGCGGAACGTGCCCTTGCAAAAGACATCAACAGTGACGCGAACGCGACGTCCGTCCGCCAGTTTCTCTGGCTTGCCAAATTTGGCCGTTTCCGGCTCCAGCTCGAGCAGCTCT